TTCACTTTGCTATAAATAATCTGGGAAGCATGCATTTCCATGGCATTTATACTCATAAGCCATAAAGCATGGGTGTTGTGCTCAATAAATTCAATGAAAAGGAGAAGAGCACGTGAGCGTGCTATGGACAAAGACCTTCCGCGCGTAACTGTAACTGGCCGGCGGACGGTCGGGGGATGGCGCTGTGTGTTAAGCAGAGTGGCGCTGTTATTTGAGTCAGCAGTCTTGTACGGCTGTTGAGCGCGTCTCCTTGACTTGAGTATGATTTATTTGTGCGATTGTGATTAATTGCAGTGTGGTACACAACAACAACTCGTGACACACATATTTTGAGAAATTATGCTGCAAATGCTGGAAAAGGAGAGTAAATTGTGGTTGGTAATGCAAAGACTTTGAATAATTGACAGCAGTCGTAGTGTTCACACTACATTATGCAACGGTAAATATTATTGGATGTTGACCGGAGTGCATGGAATCGAAATGAAATATATTTGATTGCCACCCCTAAATGAAGAACGCCACGGGTTAGAAGTAAACGTGTGCGCAGACATAAACTGAGCAACATGAATAATGGTTCAAAATTTTGCATTGAACTTGACGCCGTAAATTTGCGCACCCGCCCATATCACGCCCTGGTCTCACACGCCTCTGCATCAAATTAAATCCCCTAACGACGCGCCGCCTTAATCATAATGTAATTTTAGTTTGTCTTTAGTGACGTTGCCATTTAATGTGGCACGCAGTCAGCCAGTCTACTTCAGTTGGCATTGGCGGGCGTGTGTTGCGTGCGTAAGCGCCATTCACACCGATTTTTCAATTATCCACAATTTCTCTATTGCATGCAGTTTACGCGTTTAAATACGCCCAACAAAAGTTCCAGCTGAAACATCGGTTGTTTTGCTACTGTGAACTTTGTTGCAGGCTTATTGCCTCCGTTTATTGGTAAATGTGACAGCCAGTGCTAATTAACTGTGCAAGGAATCGTTGCCATTTTGCACTGGATAATCAAGTATATTGCAAGCTGAACGAATTGCTTAGTGTATATTTACTAATTAGTAATAAGAGTGTAAAAGTAATTGCAATCAATAAACCAAATGCAAACTTCAGTGCAAAATGTTGCCATGAATTGGTAATTTCATTAATAGTTATTGTTGTTGTAGCTTCAGAAAAGATGCTGAAATAGGTTTAAGAGCGAACGAGCTTCAGTATTTCTAATTCGCATCTTCTAATCTGTTTTTCAGAGCCGGACTGACAGCGGTGTCCAAAACCCTCTCATTTCTGGAGTGTCGATAGAAAATTCCGAAGGAAAAACCCCAAATAACCGTTTAATGGTTGTTATTGCATTTGGCACCTCATAAAGAGTTGATGTTTTAAGAATGATTTGGTCATTCTCGGTAGTTATGACCTGTCATCAATGGTGGAGTTGTCTCTGACATGTCAATATGAAGAATATTTGTACAATTAGAGGCTTTACTTGGCCTATGAAATCTTTTCAATAATCTCTGCCTTGCAATATATAATCTCGGCCAATCCAATATTAGCAAATTTCTGATGTCGTACAAGCCTAAATTTGTTAATTTTGTTCTGTGTTTTGTTCATTATAAGGCTAGATCTGACTGTTTGCACCGAGTCAGCACGGCCTGCATTTTGCTTAAAAACTCACTTTTTTACAAGACCAATTTCATTGAAACTAGCATGCCCGTTATAAGTCTGACATCCTGCTTAAATATTTTAAACTTTCTCTTTTGTCACGTATATTTAATTAATTCAGTACTGGTGTTATTCCAAAGGCTCTCTGCATCATATACGAGTACATGTCTCTCCTAAAATGCCTGTGAGCAAAAAGTGAAGCACGTGCATTGGAAATATATGATACCACTTTAGTGCCATTTTTAAATGATTCGTCCATACATACCTAACTCTCTTGCACTGTGCGTGTTTCCAGCAAAATACCTTTATTTACTCGGTGCATTATAAAAAGCGCAATTGTTTGTGCCTTGTTTGCATGTTGCACAGCAATAATACTTTTTTGCTTACGAAACAAAGGAACGAAGAAACAGTGCCTCGCACACATGCATGTATGCTTGAAGCAAAGTTACATATGTAGGTGCCTAGCAGGAAAAACTTGAGCTAGTCTTTATTAGGGACGACAGATTCTTAAAAGCTCTTGAGAAGTCTGCGGTGATGTGTCAAAATCCGAATGTCTGAAAAAATTTGAAATAAAAAATTGTACTTATACAAGTCTGCTAATGTAATATTAATGGGAAAATTAAAGAGCGGAGAGGATCCGAAGCTTTTTTTTTTTTAAATAGTTCCATAATAATGAACTTCCTTAGTGATATCATGACTACTTTTGTGACGGTTTTGGTCTATCTTTTTTATAATTTCATCGACTTTTTCAACGATAGGTCGGCCAGAGCGAGGTGCATCTTTCACATCGAAATTTCGGGAACTGAAGCGAGCGTACCATTGTTGTACTACACGAACTGATACAGCATCGTCTCGGTAAACTTCACAAGTTTCATTGGTGGCTTGCGTGACATTCTTCCAATTTTTATAAGAAAAAATTCAAAATATAGCGAATTTCTTCCTTATTTTCATACATTATACAACTGAAACGACATCTATTGACAAAATACGAAAATACTTTTTCGACTACCCAATATTTTAACTTCGTCCAAGCCACGCGCAAGCACCTCACTAACAGTACGTTTATTTATCAGACACACTGTTCGTACCCAGCAATTCGGGCGTCGCCTACAACAATTGCCTTCGAAATGTAACGCCAACTCAACCCAACTATTGCGCTGCCATTTCGAGTTGAAATTTTTTATTTAACTACTAACTGCTCTTATTTATAACTGTTATTTACATACTACTGCACCGCTTAACCCACTGAACTTTATAAAATCAATACAAAATTGTTTACAACCACCGCTGCAATTGGCCACTTACGGTCTGTTGTTGCCGCCAGCAGTAGCGCTTGCTGCCATGGCAGCCGTAAACTTGACTAATTGTTTGTGCCACCACCGCTGTGTGTTTGGTGGTGTTGGTGCAGTGCCGTCTGTCAATGGTTGCCTGCGACGCAATGCAGTCAGCTGTTTGGCACTAGGCTAGTGCTGTGACGCACACGTTTTCGTTCGGCTTGGTTGTTGTGATGGATGGAGCAGGGATTACCTCTCGTTTGCTATAAGTAAAAATGTTCTACCATTATATTTATGAGTACATCCATATATGTGTGCGATGCTTTGTCTGCTAGTGCTTGTGTCCGCAGCAAAGCACCGTAGCTCGTTAAGTTGACATTTTGATTTTAACTGTTTTTAATTTTTGTTCTTCCTGCTGCACTCAACAACTTTACGACCATCCGACTGTGGGGAGCTACAAATCTGCACATTTCAAATTAAAACTGCCCAAGGCTTGGTGTGGTGTAGTGGGTGTGTGGGCCGGTGATTAAGTGACTTTAGGTTTTTGATTGCAGACAGCTGTTTCAGCTTGCATTTTTTGCATGACTGGAGGATCAGTCAACAATAACAATGCAACGCAACCTCCTTACCTCTCCACATGCAGTTGTGGCAATGCCTCTATATTTTTGCACTTTTCATAGCGGTAAATGTTGCATTACTAAGTGGTTTTCGTTAATCTTTTAATCCCTTCAAATGGAAAACCAATCATTGACTTATGTAAGTCTGTCGAGCACAAACATTAGTGGTGAGTGATTGTAAGGCTCTTGCTGTTTGGCCAACTGCCATCTGTAATCATTATTTACTGCTCACTGTTTTCTATAAATTTTTGTTTTGAATGCTTGTATGTGTGCCCTTCGTGATTTTTTTGAATTCAATTTGGGCGACAAGCCGTCATTTGGGCATTGCAAAAGCATTAATCAACACAAACTGCAGCTTAGCCAATTGGCAGTGACATAGCTCGCTACAATGGTACTCACGCGTATGTGTATTTATGTAACCTGTAAATGGATGTGTGTGCGTTGGCTACATGTCCGCAATGTCATCTATGTCCTCTGTGTCCTCTCACTTAACCGCAATGACAGACCACTGAGTGTTGTTGCTCTTACTGTTTTACAGTTAGGGACTTAGTATACAATCGTAATGACCAAAAATTGGCTAGTCGCCAAGGCAAAACAAGTTGTAAATTGTTTAACATTCCACTTGTTTATTGGACAACCAATCGTACACAATTTTTTTTTTTTTCAGTTAGACACCTCCTTGTGTTGTTGATTTATGTATATACAAAAACCTATTTTATATGTATTTTCCAGCTATTAGGTTCCAATTGATTTTTAAAATGAGTTTTGTTTTTCGCTTGGAAATTCTTGATCACTTGGAGTATTCCAAAAATAATTTTGATTTAACGTTTTTATGAGTCACACCCTTTTGGCATCCGGGGTGCGTCATTTCTAGTGCAAGTTTGTCAATAGTAGAAACTTCAATTCTAAGTCCGATAGTTAAAATCTAAATCCCTAGTCTTTATAGTCATGGGTCAACCAGATATTTAGAGTTAGACCCGTAAAAGGAACCACCTCTTCGTCGAGTCCCGCATCGTCCTGTCATATGATGCGGAGGCATGAACGATGACAACAGCTGATGAGTCGCCTTTAGGAATGTTCGGGAAAAAGGTTTCGCGGGAGATTTGTAGTCCTTTGCGCATTGGAACTCCTGCTTTGAAGGTTTACGATTCAGAATCTGCCAGTAGAAGCAGAGGGAGAAAGAAGACCTCCACTCCGTTTGAGCGATTAGGTGGAGAGTACCTGGCTGCACTTGGTAGAAAGGAAGAAACGACTAGCGCGAGCGCGCGCGACTATAATAAAAAAAAGAAAAATAATATAGCTTCAATGACGTATTTTTATTCCACAATTTTTTTAGCATGTCATAGTAGTAATAATAGTAAAAGTGGTTTTATAACAAACTTACTCTTAATATTTTCATTGTAATTTCCTATAAAAAATTAATTGCATCTAAAACAAATGTTTCTTTTTTTCTTTTTAGCAGCTCCATTCGGAGTATCGGAGCACTTATCGCTGGCATGAGTTCACAGGCAATTCGCGGCCAGAAGTGGTGCGTCGTGCGCCAGCGCCCAACCCAAGTCAGTTCATCGGTGAGTTGCCCAATCGTAGATGAAACAAATAATGCGCATACGCTGTTTGCCAAAAACATATTACATGAATCTAGAACTATATATAAGTATATATATTATTATTCAGTCTTTACATACTTACATATGTATTTTTATTTATGTTATGCAATATTGATGAATTTATGCTTGAACGCTTAACCTCAGTTACTATTCAAAACTATCTTAAGCCTCATTAACAGGTCCAACGAATGAGCCACCATTACCCAGGCGGAAAAAATGTCCAGAATTGGCATACAAGTCGCACGAATTCATTATCGGTTCAGAGTACACAGATACGAGAGGTGGACATGCTGGTGCCAATCGGTTAGCCAGGGTGAGTTGAAAGACTTTTATGTAGTTATATATGCTTGTATATGACTCGTAAAATATGTATATGCATTTGGTAAGGCAAGGCATTTTGTATTAAATACGCAACTGAAGGCAGCCCACTATTTTTAGTACAACAAAATTATATACTCCTCAGAGCTTCACCCAAAACATTTACTTTGAAATTATATTAAATGAATAATAGTAATTGTAATTAATGTATATTATTAATTTTAACCACATTTATTAGCTTACCTGAAAGCTTTGACCTTAACACTCTTCTTACCTGTTTTACTTGGAGTGACGTCACTGTGAATGTGGAATTTTCAAAAATGTTGCAACATATTTTTATATTAAAACTATTAAAACTAAACAAATGTTGTGTTATGTATGTTCCATATTGTGCAATTATTGTGTATAACGGTATATTTGTTAGACATTTAATGGCAGCCTTCATGGAAAGTCCATTTCTTTTATTTCCTATTAATTCTGTTCGCTTATCCCAGACAATGGCATACATTAAAGTGAGGATATATGTGTAAATTGTTCAGTATTTGTTGGCTTCCACCCATCATTTTCAAATGGCAATCAGCATTGCTTTTACTTAGCTAACAGCAGAGCGGCGTGTCCTTCATTAGACCGACCAAGCGACGCGACGAGATGCGCGGGCAAGGACGTTTGTCGCACTTTTTTTTGAAGCATACAATGGCGAGCTTTCAAGCATTTAAAGCCAGTAAAATATGAGCATATGTGTTCGCCAGTGAGTAAAAAATATATTCGAATACTTTGGGAGCAAATAAAAATGCCCACTTTTTCTACGGTTTATTCGAATAATGTTTATTTAGTTGTAAAAATGCTAATTTAAATTTATCGCAAATCACATGCAAACCACATTAATGCATCTGTGTGCGTGTTTTGCTCTAAAAGCATCGCAAAGGCATGCAGATTGGCTTTCTCTTCTATTTTTATGTATGTGGGCAAACTGCGGCCTCATTCACTTTTGACGCTCAGAATTAAAATTTTATTTAAATTTCATGGTTTGCTTACGTTCTAAGCGCGCATTCACGCTAATTAGTTGCCATATATGTATGTATTTTGAATGGAATTGCTGAACTGAATACATATGCATACATACAAGGGGCTGAACCGGCTTGCATTTCGCACTAATTATCTAAACAGTGGTCGGAAGTTTTGTATAAATAATTGGTATTATGACAAAATTTTATAAAAATTATTAAAAGATTGAAAAAGATTGCACTTTTCGAAACTTCAGCCAAAATAAATTGCTTCTCCGCCTTGTTTTCGCAACCCAGATTAGGTCTCTTTTCCAAGCGGTAGATACAAGGAAAGAAGAAAATTGTGAAAAATAATATAACGATATTCTTAATATGATTTAATTAGTCCATGACGCAGCCTTATAATTTATGAGACACCAGTCTACGACTTCTCTCCTCAGTCCTATGCTTATAAGAGTTTTTCCAACCGCGTTTCGGCAACATGCCGACAAGGCTAGCTCTCGCGTATCTCCCTCAACTATACCGCATTCTCTAACACAACTATCGATCTAGATAACGATTAGGGCTAATTTGGCACACATTAGTCTCAAAAGAATAAAATTTCAAATGCGAACATATAAACTAAAGAAATAAAGATGTGCTATATGTAAATAAGTATGCTGAATACATTTTATTTTAGATTTAATTTTAATATTTGTAAATTTTACTTTCAAGTCGGAAGAACGCGGTACACCATCGCGTCGGAGCAAATCTGAGGGACCCCCAGCTGTGCCCAATGGACGTGCGTATGCCATACCAGAGGAGGTTGATGGACCGGCTAAAAAACAGGTATGTTTTCAGGAGCATGTCAATTTATTCTTCAAGTCCTTACATATATGCTAAAAGTATGTCGTTTCTATATGCATATGTATGCCCAATGTGTGGAAAAATATTAATTATTTTGTAAAGAAAATATAGCTACAAACATACATAGTATGAATTAAATATTGTGGTCTTGTATAGAAAAATATTTATGTGTGTGTCTCGTGAGTAGAGTTGATATTATACTTGGCTGAAGCCAAATATTTGGGTCTGTTTATAGAAAAGTTTATGTCTTAGCGTCTGTATATATAATCAATAGTATTAGTTAATCAAATCACTCTCCCATTATGAGACATAACTGGAATGTGATGGTGGATTTATTATTCTGTTAACGAGCAGCTAACATTTTATTGATCAGCTAGAAAGGGGGCTTTGAGCGTTGTGTTCGTTTGTGTCTGTTGATAAAAAGTTTGAAAAACATTGTTTTAATATTTTCCACACTATTTGCAATATTTCGAAACCAAAAGAGTTTTCTATTATTGGCTCAACACTTTACATATCTATCGCGAGTTCAACATCGTTCGTTGGAGCTTATATTATAAAATTTATTGTCACTAATCTGGCATCACTCAAGATTGGGGCATGTATTTAAGTTAGCACTCATTTTTCAGTAGTATTCTTTTAAGTTGCCCGAAGGAAATAGAAAAACTCGAACAGAAATATGCAAAGTTTTGATGGAAATTGTTGAAAGCTTAAGAGATTCGATTTAATCTATTAACAAGTGGCTGAATTAATTTAAAAAAATTATAAAAATTAATACTGACATGCCTTATAAACAAATACGTTACTTACTGAGATTAAAAATTAAGTATATCAATCCTTAAGCATGAAAATTGGTCGGGCATGTGAGTGAAATGAAATTACAAAGAATGCGTTTGAAAAACGATTTGCATATCTACATTTATAGCTGTAAATTATTAGCGGCGTTTCATTGACTGCATGACAATTATTTTCCATATACGTTTAGGTATATGTAATTAGTTATATTACATTATTTCAATATAATATAATTGAAAAAAGAGGATTACTCACATGGTTAAGTAAAATATATGAAATTTCGAACGTATTTTTAATGACGAAAGAAGTGCTAATGGAAGATATGTATGTACATATGTATGTATATAGAAAGTTTATTCGTTATAATTGTAATTTTAGTATCATATAGTATCATTCTTCTTTTATCGAGTATCATTTAATGAAACTTATATGTGATTACACGCCTGTTAGTTATATCTCTGAAGTTTGCTCTATATTCTCTAAATTAGAAAAATTTAAAAAAGAGAAAGACAGTTTTCTCTGTTTCTAAATTTGTGTGGTGTGATGTTTCTGCCTATCTACCACTGTCTCTTTCAATTTTGGACTCGTTGTAATAAAATTCAGCGAAAAAGAATTCATTTTACCTCAGTGCCCAATTTCACGCAGCCAAAAGTGAAAATGGGAATACTTATCCATTTCTATTATGCGCCATAAAGATAAGTGCCAGCTTACATATATATGTATATACACCATTAGACATCGTATGAGTATACACATGTATTACGTCGCGTTTGCGCTGATCAAAACGTATGGTGAAATGCTGAAGGACTCTAATATATTCTCTTTTGAAATGGCAATTTCAACAGCTACGCACACATACACACTTGCCGGTAGTGAGCTCGGTAAGCGCTTGTAAGCCTGCTCATATATTCTTAAGACATACTCAATAGCAAAGAGCTGGTATGCATTTAGATCAATAAGTACTTCAGCGGCATACTACTCTCAATTTTATGCGAACCCATTCAATTGGCAAAGTTCGATTTACTGTTGCCAGTTGTTGTAGCGCCTCTTCATAGCCAAGCAAAGGCAAGAAAGGCATGCTAAGGACTATCCAAAACCATTAGCTTAAAATATAATGTGAGACATAATAAATGATACCACCACATATGTTTTCATATATACCATAGGTATATATTTTCAATTCGTCCAAAACTTGCATTGCTGGTGTGCTGCTAGGCGAATGTATCCTCACCTGCGCCTTCCTTCACTTTCGCACTTTGCAAAATTTAATATAACACTTTTCGACTATTTCTCAAGAGGTCTTTCACTCAGCGATTTTTTCCAAAAGGTTGTAACCAATGAAGAGGCAAATATCTGTGTATAGAAATAAAAGTAAAGCTAGTTATATACTTACGTACGTAAAACGTATTTCTATACAAGAATGATAAATATTTGTTTTGAAAGATAATCTTTCATGTATTCTAACTATGGGCAAGTGAATATTCACAGCAAAATGTTTGTAAATAATTTAAAATGTAATATTCATGAACAAGATACTTAAATTTGTGGGATTTTTAATTCTTCTCGGAATCTTATCTTTCTCTGGCTTGATATTGTTTGGATCAGTGGCCGAATTTAGATTCTCTGTGATGATTAGGTTAGGTTAAAATGTCGATTCTAATAGGGAAATCACTTGGGCAGCATAGAACGCCGGTCCGTTTTAGTTCGCTCAGACTTTTACATACAAGATCACAAAATTCTTACAGGTTGACAAGGCCTGTCTGGAATTTGTTGAGACGGCTAATAATAGTTTCAATTATGTCTTTAGGACCGGACAAGAGACCAAGATGTTTCAGCCACAGTCTCCTAAAATTGCGGCAAGATGAACTTTGCTCAGGGCAAGTAGTGCAGTAGAACACATACATTTTACTATTGGTAAGAAGAATCTCGTAGTCGCCCAAGACCGCCTGCTAAGTCTTAATCAGTCCTCAGGCCGTTTTAAAATGGCCTCATCTAACGCAATTCGTGTAGATGGTGTACAGCAACAGCCGCATGAAATCTTGACCGTATGCTGCAGTTGCGTCGATATGTTGCCATCAGGGCTCGGGACTTGAAGGGATTGAATAAATTCAGTGCGGCGGTAAGATAACGTTCTTAAAAAGGTTTAAGAATACCTTCTTCTAGCCCCACTACCGGCACTTCTTCAGCGGTGCGGTTCCAGGAGTGGTGTCACCGACTGCTAAATGCGCATGATCAATTTCTCCGCAATTTTTAAGAGTGCGCCTAAATCGTAAGGACTCATTACAACAATCTACATTTCCGCAGAACTCTGTCCACATGGGTATTTTAGCTATCCTCAACTCGGTCTTGTATATGGCCACATCTGTCTTCCATTCATCCCTGGAGCCACTTCTACGGATTTTGTAGAAAAGTTTTCTGCTCGCCGTTAGCTCCGATGTCCACTAAGGTAGTTTCCCTATATCTTTCTGAGTTTTCAGAAGATTGGTGCTTTCAAGAGTAGTTCCACACACAGAGCTGAAAACCTCGACGAGCTCATCCATATCGGGCGCGTTGAAAGAGCTGATCAAAACTTTCTGCAATGCAGGGCTCAATTTATATGTATTTGTAAAGTTTCTATAGGATCTGCACTTTGCGACACCACGACGACCCGCAGCAACACATTCAAAAAAATTTAATTTTAGTCAACTCTTGAAAGATTTTGTTTGCTATAAGTCATTTAAGTAAATCAGTCGAAACTTTTGCATGCTTTTTCATCGTATCTGTGATTATATTTGCAGTAAATAATACTCAAATATTTAGATATAAAATTAGAAATATATGTATTTAGCAGATTGTACAGTTATTTGTTATTAATTAGGTATTGAAAAATGTATATCTTTTGAAGTTCAAGCAAACTTAGTCATAATTGATACAAGGTTTACAAAAAATACTTGTATTTTGTCTTTCTCTCTTTTCTTTCCAAAATATAATTTTTTTCTTCATTTTGCATCTGCTCTCTCTTTCTTTTATTGCGTAAAATATAATAATACTATTTGCTCGCTTGCTGTCGTCATCATCGTTGTTGTCGTCGTTCTTTACATCGTGGTTGCATTGTGAAAAAAATAATAATAAAAAATTTAATAAACAAATAATTTACTTACCGTCGGCTTTTTGTATTAAACAAAATGATAATAATAATAATTCTCTACAATTTTATGCATTTATATACTTGTTTTTGTTTTATTTGTTCCCTCTCTCTTTTTTCTCTCTGCTCTTCTCTTTTGCAGGCGGGTGAGTCAAATGGCCTATTCAAAAAGACCATCTCAAAATTGAGCACAGAATATCGTTTGCAATTCGTTTGGCCCAATGTCCGACGAATAAAAGGCATTGAGTCCGGCGATGCGGCGGATCACCCCCGAAAATCAATATCAATGGGGGCGCTCAAAGCTAGCCAACAACAACAGCAACAGCAGCAACAACTGCATCTCAGGCAACACCCACAACCGGCAATGCCAACCGTTCATAAAAAACGTACAACAAATCAGAAAGAAGGTGCGACAATATTCAATTGTCGCTAATAATTAATTCACAATCATTAATTTACAAGTTAATGACTTTAACGTTTAATTAAAAGTAAAACTAAAATGTTTCGAATTCTCTCAAATTAATTTACTAACAACTAACTAGAAGCGTTTCAATTTCCAATTGAGTAATTCACATATGTATAAAAGCTCGACATAATCAAGTTAGTTAAATTACAACAAACTTTTGTTGCTATTGTTTGACTAAAAAACAGCCAAGTTGTAACACTGGTGTGTGTAAAATGAAAAAGCGCTTAAGCTGAGTTTGGAGACCAAGCTGACAAAAAAAAAAAAAAAAAAAAAAAAAAAAAAAAAAAAAAAAAAAAAAAAAAAAAAAAAAAAAAAAAAAAAAACAAAAAAAAAAAAAAAAAAATAGAGAGACTCGAAAGCTTTCTATTTTTTCTACAAAAGTATTGAAAAGTAAAATATAACACCACCCCTTGTATATCGTACTCAGCATTCTAACCAAAACCATTTTTGGATATTGCAGGATTGCAATTTACATTAGTTTTCAGTGAGCCCAAATCTCTCACAAATTTTTCATATTCTTGGTTCCTTTAAGTGATGATATGAAATGTAAATTCTACCTTTATCCAATTTGTGAATCTTACAGCTTTATAAGTCAGACAGACGAGCATTTCGAACATATTTGAACTAGTATGTGTAACTAGCTCTCATGTTTTTAGAAAAGGTCCTTCCGAAATAAAATTTGAGGTTATCAGGACAATAAAAAATAGACTAGTTTTTGATTGTTTCACGAGCAAGATTTGAATTGCATTCAAAATCAGCAGAATCAACTTAAGTGCTATTCATTTTTCAAAACTGACGCACATAGTGTTACAACTAGATGACCTTGGTAAAAATTAAACTCGATATTGAAAAGCAAAAAAACTGGAGGTAGTAAATAATTGTTGTACAATTTATTTATTTACAAGCTTTCGTAGTAAAGCTTTTCAAAAAATATTTTCCGAAAATTTTAAGAAACATTGCGGCTCTTAAAGCAATTAAAATTTAATGCTCGCGTTGGTAGATATAATTTTTGAAAAGAAAAGTTGAATTATTTTGAAGTTTTTTATGTACACGCTGTCGTAAATCTGTTGCTTCAAGTACGAAACGATAAAAATTGTACCGTAGTATTCAAAATTAAGTTTTTTTCAAGTAACAGAATATGCATGCTTTTTGCCGCTCCTAAAAATATGCAAATAAAAGTTGTAAACCTGAACTCATTGCAAAAATCTGCGGTAACGATGATCAGAGCAATACTTGTTGCATAATTTTAGCAAACTATGTTTGGGTCTGTATATGCATACTCTGTTAACATACTTTTTCTATAAAAATATATATACTAATTTGTAGATTTTAAATAAGTCAAGCGAACTGCACAAGACTATAATTATAATGTTTTTGAAAATGCGAAATCCTTTTGAGCGTTTCTAAAAGTGAAAGGATTAACAAAAATCTGTTACTTGTGTCAAATTAGAAAAGGCGTAGCGATTAGTTTTTGATAATTCTAATTAAAAAAGTATATATGGCATACCTTTAGGGAGTGACTAATTAAGAAAAAAATACGTAGCATAACTTTAGGAAGTAGTAAATGCTTTGAGTGGGCTGAGAGTGAAGTGAATATGCGGCTTTCCGAGAGAGAAAATACCAGCTATACGATGTCATTAAATAAAGGCAATAAAACCATTTCTACACAACGTGTCTGTATTTGAAAAGCTGTAGTGTTCAAAGTAAAGCTGTAAAGTTGCCAGAGATTTCTTGATTATATTTGTATTTTCGCCTCCATTGCCGATGCTGATTTTATGGGAGAAAAATTGATTACTATTCAGCAAAAAAACAAAAAAAAAAAAAAAACAAATTTTTTTTTAATTCCATTCTCTAGCTAAATTTAAGGTCAGGCCTTTCATTGCTTATGCTCAAAACATCAAAACAACAACTTCCTTATTATTGAATTCCAAAAAAAGCTAAAAAAACGCCTCAGAAGGATTTGTTCCATTTCAAATACATTTTTAGCGGACTGTGTAACTTTAAATAGTACTTTAATTGTATTGAAAAGTATACCGTAATTTTACATTATAATTTGTTTACATTTTCTCTTAGACATTTATATATTTTATAGCTTTAAAATATCATTTGCTAACTAATTTCTCTAACAAAAATCTATTAAATTGAATATACTGGAAAATATTGCCAATTTTACTAAAGAAAATTCTCTATTACAAAAGTTTCCTTCTTTATATAGAACGAAATTAAAATAATGCAAAGTAATGCATTCACTCTAAATATGCTTTTTCAAACATAAAATTTTGACAAAAAAATGTAAGTTGAAACTTTCAAAATGCATAAAATGACGTAAGTGTTGAAGTGTTAATAACAATGAAATATTCTAACTTATCTTAATTTTTTGTTATTTACACAAAGAATAGTGAAACTGTGTGCTCAATGAAAGCTGTAGATTTTGGTAGTAATACTACTAGATTTAGTAGAAATACTAAACTAATATGTGCATATATTGCATGCATATCAAAACGAAACGAACAAATTTAGAATCCATGACTCAAAAACACTTTCGTAAAGTTTAAAAATTGATTTGGTAAGCGATTTGCATACAATCTGGCAGCTTTAAGACATTTACTGTGATATGAAAATAGTTTTCCTCACTTCTACGACTTTCAGTGAGCACAAATTATGATTTTATTTTCTTCTGTAGTATTATTTAAATGTAGCAGAAATCATACAGTGAGCATGCCATTATAAAGAACAGTTATTAATTGTATGGAAATTTAATTTTAGTGTACCGTTATGTCCAACAATTAAGGAGTTTTTCATTTGTTTAGTTCTTCTTCGTGACTGTGAGGAAAGGCATGACAATTAACTTCACATCCCTCATGTGATTCTTTTGTATATTTTCTCTACGGAATTTTGATTGTTTTTATTAGCAGGACATAGTCACAGAGGAAAATAGACAGCAAAATAAAAGCTATATAATAATAAACTGAGATATATTTAGGTTCATACAGAGGTGCCTTAATTTCTTTGAGTTGCAAAGAGAAAAAAAAAAAATATCCACCAAATCGGCTTTTCAATTTTTATGTATTTAAAGGATTGGCCCTTTTTCCTAAAAAATTTAGAATGTTAATGGATGTCACGTTTTGCACATCAGAAAAAGTCGAATTCGTCTTCCCATCAGCTCTTTATTTAAACGGGCTAGAAACCCCTACAAAGAACACGGTTACTCCATTTAATATAGAAAAAAATCTCAAAATGCTTTATGATATGTATATTATATTAAAATATATGACTGAAACCTAATATCGACCGATAAGAGATAGAACAATGTCAAAAATCGCACTTGTTATGAACATATAACCACAAGACCGATTTTTATACCTTTTTTTCGTAAGTATGAATTTTAACTTATAATGCAAAGAGAAATTGTGTCTCGAAAGACACAACTTAAGGTCAAATTCATCAACGTATAAGCCGTTTTTGATCGTTCTCTTAATATCTCTCCAATCGAAATCAGCTTTACTTTTCTTTCTCCCACGATTGCGTGTTAAATAAATAACGTGAGCAAGGTAAGCTCTGAGTGAAGCTCAATAGGTCCAGCATGACTTTAACAATCGTTTCTTTAAAGCCAATAGTACAAATGTAATGAGGAGAGCATAGTAATTTTAAAACGTTCTTTCACTGGATTCGAATACAGTAATTTTTAATAAATTTTATTTCTTTATTTTTTTAAGTTAATATCATATGAATACAACTAGAGGCTACACAGTGTAAATTTATTTACAAAATAAATGAAATGTAAATACACAAACAAATGTGAGCGTTGCAGTTTAGGAAAGAGCCTTCGTTAGAACTGTTTAAATTTATTTGGTTAATTTTCAAAGAAAAATAATTTTTACTACTTTAGCTTAGCTTTCTAATTTATGCGTGAAATTGAGCTTTAAAATTCCAAAATTTATGCTGCTTCCGCTGAGAAATATATTTGCTACTCTACTCCAAAACAATGCTGCTTCTACTATATTTTATTTTAATTTAATGCAAAAATACCAAAAATGTATTGAGTAACAGTAAACCGGCCAGCTTTGCTGGTGTTAATAGTGACTGCGAATTTGAGATAATGAAAGCTGCTTTTGCCTAATTTCTTCTCAACTGGTATTTATTTATTTTCGATTTTTTTTTCATAATTTTATCTAACTGTAATATTCTCCTCAAACGACACTTGCTACATTTACTACATTAATTTATTCGTGTAATTCAATTCAACCTGATTTGTTCGATGAAATTTCGTTCTATATTAATACCATTCATCCACAGCGTACAAGCATACTAACACATGCCAACACTTAACAAATATACTAACAAACACGCATACAAATTTCACATTAACATTTACTCTCACATACATAGGCACACTAACATTTACATGAAAATTGTATTTTGGCTTAATTTTTTTCTTATTTCGCAAACTTCTATGCGCCACCCAAAAACCCCATTTTATTATTTGTGAAACATATTTAGCTATGCGCCACTGAAGGAAACCCCCCTAACACCTAACGGCTGCTGCACTGTCCCCCAAAATATTTATTGAAGATATTTTTTTGAGTTACTTTGCTTAGTTTTCAATTCATGCCGCCCGATTTCATTTCACTGCTGCCTTTTCCTCAATAAAATTTATATTAATAAAATTTTTTTCTTTTTTGTATTTGTGTTGCATTGCTGGCTTTGGTTTTATCACATAACATGCTCGAGGGACACGTTTCGTTTAGCAAAATATAAATTCTTTCCTGTTTGAGGAAATTTGTTTGGTTATTTAGTCCAGTTTGGCCTAAGAGATGATGCAGTTCTTAGTCGTATGCGCGATATTTTCTTCCGATTTTCAGATTTGCTGCTCGAAACATTTCTGATGATTATATGAGTGTACATTTAAACAAATAAATTGAAAAAAGAATAATACTCTTAAAGATGAGAAACAGCAGTTGAAATAAGCACAAGCTTTAACTATTTCATGCATACAGTATGCTGCCCTTCATAGCTATCCAACTGTGATGAAGACTGATCGATTACATTACAGGGTTCAAGCACTTCATAAGTGAGCACAGTGTTCTTCTTTATGATAGTTCCATAAATACAGCCGCTGTCTAACACAGTGTCACAGCAACCTCAAAAAGCTAGTTGAGTGTTGTCAATGCATATTAGTTCCAGCTTGAAGACTGCGAAAGTGCTTTTCAATACTTTTTAAGTCTAATTCATAAAGTATTTAGTAAACACTAAAAATAACAAAAATTAATATTCTCCTTAAGCTAAACGAAATATATCTCTCCCTCTCTTTCTTTTCACAAGTTTCACATTTTTATTAAAGTTTTATTATTTTCTTTAAGATTTTCTCATTCGGATATATTTGTTGTAGTAATTTATTGTACAAACGATTAAGAAAAAAAAATTATATAGCAATTTAAGACTTAAATACTTTCGATACCTTTTTCTGCTACATCATAACTTATCGATTATTATAGAAATATGTTATAATATATAACTTTCTTGATCACTGCAAACACACTAAGAAATGAAGTGGAACGAAAATTAAATTTTTTATATGCTTTCAGCTACACTACATGAGCTGGAGCCGCTGGTTAGCGATGCAGAAGAAAGCAAGCCACAAGAAAAGTATGCAAAAACAATTTCACATTTTTGTAGAAATAGTTACTTTTTTCGTTTCTTATACACCCTTTTTGGCACATTTGAATTTTTTTCATTTTTTATTATTTTTGTGTTTCAATTGTCTTTCGAACTCATTCACTCACTAACAAATTGCAATTTGTCTCTTATATCGAGTTCAAATTCTCCATTCAGACGGCAGAGGATATGTATAAATATGTGTGTGTGTGTAGCGGAATAGAAGTCATACCTATAAAGCGTTTCATCTGGTGCTTAATCGCACAGTCACCAAAATAGCTTTATCTCCTGCCACACCTTACCTGCCACTTAGTACCGCCGCCACCCCCATTCATCATCATCACATAATATCACCGCCATTCATTCCTTTCAATTTTTCACTCTTTATGTGCAATATGTTCGCAGCATATGAAAATTTAAAATGACATTTTTCTCTTTGCATTTTTGTCCACCTTTTGTCATATCCGCTGCTCGTCCATTGCGATTTCCGGCGCTTTAAAAACCGCACACGTACACAAACAAATGCTTTTGCCAACAACGACAACTTTGTGAAACTACCTTCAAATATGCCATATGGCAACACAAAATTGCAACAACTACAACAATGCATCAACCAATCACACAACACCATGCATACATCGTGTACTTGGCTTGAAATTTCCAAATTGTCACTTTGCTTGCACACAAATGCGAAATTCGATAAAAAATATTTAACAAAAAAATCAATTGCAACATGCTTGAACGGTAACTCGCTTCGAACGAATGACAAATTGACAATTCGCAAAAAAAAAAAAAAAAATTTAATTACATGCTTGATTGCACCTGATCGCCATAAAAAAATACAAAAACACAACAAAACGAAATTAACGATGTGCATTCTTGCCGCACGAGCAGACAAGTCACCATTGTTGAGAAGGTCGAACGAAAAATGACTATACGGCCATTTTCGCAAGCTTTCGACCAAGAACGCACCAATCACTTCATAACCAAGAAGGAAAACTTTGGCTTTGACGAGATCAAGGGCGGCGTCGGTGTGGATAATAAGCAGCAACAGCAGCCGGAGCAGGAAGTGCTCTTGAATGGCACAGCACCGCCACGTTCGCAGCCGAATTTGGATTTGTGGTTCAAGGAGGTAGTTGAACTGCGAAAGAAGGCCGGCGAGTACAAGGTATGATATTATATATATATATATATATATATATATATATGTATATATATTCGTATATGTATTTAACTGGTATTACAAAATCATCATATAACTTTACATTGCAGTGTCGCGGTTGGGGCATAGAAATCGATCCGGAGCTGTACAAGAAGCAAAAGGACCTTTGGGAGCAGGTTTCCAAGCGCAGTTCACTGTCTGCCTTATCATTAGCATCTTCCGTGCATAGGTAACGCTACTACTTGCCATTCGTCCCTACATATGTATATATATATGCAAAATTATATTAATATATACCTCTTATATATGTGCGTACAACTTGCAGACCTATTACTAAGGAGGAGAAGGAGCAGGAGAATAATAAAAAATCCATACCATTAAGTAAAGCCACACAAAAAACTCGAGTTCCTGGCCATGCCCATTTGCTTGATAATAAAGATGAGATTTCCGCACTGCCAGCTCGCTTTAACAATATACGTCATCATTTGGAGCGCACCACCGGTCCTGGTATACAATTTATAACTCATTTGCATACATTTTCATAATCATACAGTGAAACACTGCCTACATACATACGATTTAACAAACACACATACATGCAAAGTAGTTGCACATCCATGACTAAGGCTATGCTGTTGCCAATATTTTCCCTCCATATCTTAATGAAGTCCACTAAGCATCACTGTCTAAGTACTATCTTTATGGTCTTATAAAACAAAAGAGTTTGAGAAACTTTTTGGCGATTTAGAGGCGATCTTTCTGAATGTTACTGTTGTATAACCTTGTGTGTCAAGTTTATTTCATTTCTTCGTCAATATTTTTAAACTAACAGTTACTTTTCTATTTTGTTAACACCACCAACTACCCCAATGAATATTTTGACAACTGAAGATGCTGCTCTCTTTACAATGACACTTTAAATTCACTGTGCAGCCGATTTTCCGTCTTTATATCCGAGCAACCTCAACAAATATAGTCAACGTCCACTCAGACTACAGAAAAAAAATTTTACAAAAAAATATTAAAAATTAAAATAATTAGAAGAGGGAGGGGACAGGTTTCCTGGTGGTCTGAAAAAAAAAACAAAAGAAATTCTTAATCACTAAGGATGCTGTTATCGTCCCTATTTCAGGGAACACGATTTTTTTTTTTAAATGGGGACTGCCTGAAAATAAAAATAATTTTTACGCTTTTTTTGAAATTCCTGAATTTTTTATTTAAAACAAAAGATAAAGGATAAAGGATTATATAGAGATGTTCACACAAAGTTTCAAGTAAATTGGTTGCATTGATAATGCCGGTACCGTGTGGAAAAAAGTATTTTCGAGAAAAACGTGTTTAAAAAAGGGAGTCTAACTACCTACCGGGCTAGGTACTGCGTCACTAAAGTAACTGTAGCTCTTAAAATAATTTTAATTTTTAAAAATTCTTTGGAGGATATGTTCTTTACATATATGAAAGAAAAAAAATCGAGTTTTTCAAAATTCTAGAGTAGAATACCCCCTTAATCGTAGTAACTTCAAGTATATACCTATTCCCAATTTAAAAATCTTTCGAGATCTTTGGCCGATCAACCGATAGCTACCGCGGGTAACAACTTTAGTAACTAATTTTTTGGTTGAGAATACACTACTGACAAACTGTTCACATTTTCTGCCTCTTCATTCTGCTTGCTGATAGGATTATTAGCTTAAGATAAGTTAGATTAAAATGTCGATTCTAATAAGGATCTCATTTGAACATTGTACCTAAAAACTTCTTTATATACTGTTGTGATCCAGTTATCCATTACAAATCGACGAAGCGCTTTGAGCTTCCCACATCCTTATTAAGACGGTTAATGTTAGTTTCGGTTATGCTTTCTGTTTTGCCGAATGTCAGACTATCGAGATTTTTCAATGGAAGAGAAAGTGCCCTTCTCAGCTAGTGTCGCAGTTACATTTTTAGCTGAATGTTCCACTTTTATACTATAGCTGTATTCCTTTCATACTACACTGCTTTCAAAATATGAAAAAAGTAAATGAAAATATTAATAACAAACATCAAAACTTATTTCTATTATCTTTCACAATAACTTTTTATTATATAAACCAACAAGTCAGCTCTCATTCGCATTCATTAACACGGAGACAAAGTTTACTCTTGCACATAAGATACCCATGCGCTACAGCTGCTTCATGCGTTCTCGCCAAATTCCACAATATTAACTATTTCATAGCATTCCATTCCACTTAATTGGCCCTGAGAAAACAATACCAATGCGTTACCACTTCAAAACCGTTTAAAAGCTCCTCAAATGGCAGCAGGATAGTCTCATCTTTGCCAATTCGCTACTAATACTACCTACCTTCTTTCCACACTCTTACAGATGTTGAGGAGGGTGCACTGCTGCCATCGCCCACACGCGAAAAGCTAATGCCGGCAATCACCAAACGTGAGTCCGAATCACAACGCGGCAGCCCCAAGAAGACGGCCGCCTCACGACACGGCTCACCACAAAAGGGCAGTCCACAGAAGGGCAGCCCCAAAAAGGTGATCAAAAGTAAGTACCAAACATAGCTGTTGTATGCTAAAATACAGCCGCACAAAAAATGTCACACCAAACAGCATGTGTGTGTGCGTGTTAGTGAAAGTTCCTACCGTTTATAAGCGAAAGCAATCCGATGAAAATTGAATAATCTTATAGCGAAAGCGCAATGGTGAAAGTCCAAAATGCCACTAATTTGCAAAATACGCACATGAATTTGTTGAGAATATTAGTACACACAAATAACGTACACGAAATGCAAACACACACGGTGTTGTTCCCAATTACCTACACTGTCGCCTTAGAATTTTCGAAACTGCTATAATATGAATTGAAAGTACTTCTTTAAGTGTATATTTCTGAAAAAAAAAAAAAAAAATTCTACGTTTTTTTTTTGGTTTGAATATATTGAGCCGAAAAATAAGTCGAAATTCTGTCAAAAATTATGGAGTACTTTTTCCACTTTTTTTACTCTTCTTAAATCTTCTTTGTATTATTTTGCACTACTGTGTTTTGGTTTACATTGCAACATTTGCCGTTTGCGTTGCGCAGCATTATCAAAATTTGGTTTGAATTTGTTTTTCTTATTCCTGAAATGTTTGCAATGCTAAGCATACATATATATATTTATTATGATGGAAATATATTTATATGCAATATTATTGAACATTTATGCTATGCTTGCTTATTTTACTTTAACTTGCACCACATTATAACCGATTTAATTATATACACACATACATACATATAATTATCAATAAATAGTGGTAGTTATGATTACAAAACCAGCTGCTATGCTATTGAGCCATATCATAGAAGCTTTAAGTCTAGAGAAGTTTAGTAGCTGGAAGACCTTAATGGGTTGCATTAAATATAAACGGTTAGGTATTTACACAAGGTGGTTATTATAAGTTTTAAGGAAAATAGTAATTTTCTACGAAAAATTTTTTAGTGTGTGTTATTTTAATTTTGATGAACAATTCTTCTTTTTTCAAAAATCACCGAATCATTTACAGTTTGCTTCTTCACTTAAGCTTGACTGGCTGAATATAGCTGTTTTCAAATTTTTATTAAATTAATGATTAATTCATTTAGAATTCAAAAATTACTTTGGGGAATTAAATTTTGTGGCACGGTACCTTAAGGCTATTATGCTGGTTTAATCGCAAAAAAGTTCTTAAAATACAAAACAGTTTTAAGCGTTGAATTTTTAGAGATGCAAATTGTGTTGCACAAAAAAAAAATAATAATAATTGCAAGTCCACATTTTTGGCATTGAAAGCAAGCGGCAGGCCTATATTACTTGCTTCACTGAAATTTAGAGCTTTATGTCATAAAAAAGTGTTATAGAAAAGCACATAGTATCTGGAAGAATATGCGCAACATAATCGCGGATTATAGATAGAACTTCCTGTTAGCCATACTCAGTGCTCATATTTTAAGTTTCATCCTTTTTTCAAACACTCAGTAATGCCCAGAAAAGCTAGGCGCTGAACCATTGCTAGAGATGATGACAAGTCTTTGCTTGAAAAGTATTTTTTTGCTTATTAAAAGCTGTTAAACGTAAGTTGTTTTCTGTCCAGAGCGGATAATGATTTTGAATTACATTTACCATAATTATTAGGGGTATTCTCTTGTTCTTGGAAAACCTTTGCACAGTGCACGAATTGTAGATATTTCCGCTTGAAACAGATGCAGAAAATTATTTGCAATGGCTGTAAAATATCTCATACGAAAACCCATGTTTATTCTCGTGCAATGACATGTAAGAAAATAATTGCAACCCTATTCTAGCTGTCATTTTATGTAAATAGTAAAGTAAATTTTAAATAGATTTTATAATTTCTATTTAAATTATGAAGGCTTGTTGCAGTTTTTTTGTTAAAAATTAATACAGAAGGTGCGCCAATTCACAATAGCCATGCACAGTGGTCATTTACAGTAAACTGACCGAATCAGCCGTTTGTATATTACTAGATTCTGCAAAGGGTGCTATCGTGCCCTTGTATATTTCGGTATAAGATTTTTTCAATCTGCAAACCCGCAAGAGCAGGAGAATTCCCCTATTGTATTTATCGAGACTGCTTTTCACAGCAGGTTCGTGTCTTAAGTCTTTTGTGATTAAGGATTCTAAGGCTGACAGCAGAGTAAAGCGTTGCGCAAATGATCCTAAAAGCAAATGGAAAAAGCGTGTATATAGCAATTTATAATGCAGTATCGTTCATAAAACAAATTAAGCTAAATTTTAATAGAGAACTTTCTTGTGCATTTCAACTAAAAATTATTAAGAATAAAGTCGAAGTCAAGCATTAAGGACTATTAAAACTATTTTCTACGACTATAGTATAGCCCATGTTTTGCAATACCTTTGGCATGTTTTTTGCATTTTTTGCTGAGCATGCTTGGCCTCACAGACTAAGAAAACTAAGATCGAGTAAATAATATTTACAATTAAAATTCCTAATTTTTTTTAGTTGTATAAGTATTTAGGGAAGAAAGTGCTAGTTAGCACATTCTAGGCTACAAAAAGTACTAAACTATTTTTTATTTGTGTAGAACTGTCACCCAAAAAGGTCTGCTAAAAAATGTATAGCCTACACATGTGTAAATAACTAGTCGACATGTATGTAAATAAAATTTCACTTTAATAATTGCGCCCGAATGAGAGTTTCATTGCTAGCGAATCAAGTAAAGCGCATTACAAAACCGTTATGTAGTGACTAGAAAATATTTTAGCGAAATTTGCGTTCTATACTATAGCTACATATATATATATATATATAGTATATATATTAATGTGTGTGTGTCCATGTCTTTGTCTATACTATTGAAAATACAACATCTCTTTCCACTGTCTCTGCTCTGTTGTCTATGATTTAAAACTTATGTGTATAATATGAGTAACTGTAAATCTATATGTGCGTGTGTTTTTATCACAAAGACCACTAAAACACATTCACTGTGTCAATCAAATCACAAAACCTCGAACTCAACACCCAAAACCAAAAAAAAAAAGAAAGAAATTAACACAAAATACAGTCAATTTCGTAATTCTCATTTGCTAATTAAAATAAAATAAAAAATTCCTCTATATCACAACCTTCATCACAAAAAAAAAAAAAATAAAAAAAAAATAATGAATACCAAAAAAACAAACAACAACTATCATTTTAAACTGTATCACAACGATCACAACAACTACAACAACAACAGCGCGTTCACAATCCGTTGGTCCGGCCGAGCATGTCTCGCCGAAACGTCAACTGCGCTCCGCCAGCACAGCGCCTAGCGCCCGGCTAACGGCTGGCAAGAAGACACCCGTTGTACCTCAACATGCGACAAGCGCTGGAACGGCCGCAAGCGGAACCGCCCTCGAACGTAAGCCACGCCCATGTAAGTAGACGTTGTTGTATAAAGCAAAGCGTACAAAATTGCATTGTGAATTGCAGCGCATCAAAAATGCCATACAATTCATATTAATGTTTATTCTTCACTTTTGCTTATGATTTCTTGCGTTTCAATTTGTTTCTGGCAAATGTGATTCGATGTTTAATTAGAGTCTGTTATTCTAACTGTGTCTTTTATTTATATTTAATTTCTCCTTTTTTTACTTTAATTTTATAATTTCCTTATTAAATGCTTTTTTTCAATATTTTGATTTCATTTTGTTGCTTCTCGTTGACTCATTTCAATTTCAATTTCATTGTTCATTGTTCATACTTCAATTGTCATCATTTCATGTCTCATTTGTCATTACAATCCAATTCATGTGTCATGATTTATCTCATTTCCATTTCATTACATTCCCTGCATATAGTAGATAGCGGATAGTGTGCTAATTGCATATTAGGTTTCGTTAATGGCCCTAAAATACATTCACACATGAGCCGTTTATGTGTTGGAAATATTTGAGAACCACTGTTAGCGTGTGAACTATATGTTAGTTAGTTGTTATTGCTAGCAAAATATTATCGACATAATTTTTTTTATTAAATTATGCACAAACCGTAAACATACCCTCTAGTTTTGCTAGTTTAGTGCGTACTTAGCTGTTAATAGCGGTTTGTGGGTTTTGAAATTCTTGTTTTATTTTAACTCTCTTTACATACTCTTATATATGTACTCGCTAGCGTTTTCAAACTTCAAAATCCAGCACAAGATATTTTCTTCTTCATTTATATAAAAAGAAATGCTGGAATTGCAACTACTTCAGATAATCGTTCCTTGTTTGTATGAATATATAGAAATAGTGTGTATTTAGCTTAGTTAATCGAGTTCTTTAACCATAATTGTCTAAAAATTTAAAAATTTCAAATAACACATAAACAATTTCTTTCGTTCGATATTTGTTTTGGTACGACTTTTACCTCCACCACTTACTTACTGAACTCTCAGCATGTCAAAAATTTACTTGAAACATATTTGATCTCCAATCAGAATATGGTGAAATGCATTGTTAATTTTTGTGATATTGAGTGTCTATTAATATAAAAAGTAATTTGAAATTTTACTATTACTTTTATTGTTACGATGTTGATGCCGCAGTTTTCTCTTTCAAAAAATATATATTTTATTTTAATCTACGCGACAGTATCAGAATCTTGAAAATGTAGATGCACATATACAACAATATATACAATGTTTTTAAGCGTTTTGTATAACTAAATGAAAAAATGGGTACTCACCAACCAGCGAGTTTAATTTGGAAACCGCTAAAAAGTTAATATAACACGAGATTGTTGTGCCATTTTGAATCAAAAAACCTTGAAGTCAAGAATAGAATTTAAGCGTGCGCGTGAAGTCAAACTGCAAAAATAATTATACATTACCTGCAGCTTATCGACGTAAAAGATTGCCACCCTGTAAACTGTGCTATGACATATCGTTTTTCAACAATAAAACTGTCTTTTAAACCAAGTCGTTAAGCCAGTGTGCAAAAACGTGAAATTATCTGCTTAACTTAATAAATCCATTGATTGATGTGTGTGCGAAGTGGCGCCATCTTGTTGACACTAAATGTTGTCGATATCACGAGCTTCAATATCAGGCATCAGATAGTTCTCACCGCCACCATTTTTAAAGAAATATTGACCTATGATTCTACCAGCCCACAAACTACACCAAAACTTTTTTTTTTCTTGATGAAAAAGCAGTCTTTGAATCTCTTATGGGACTCATCGCTGAACAAAATTTGGCTCGAAAACTTCAGATCTTCTTGGAACTTTTCAAGAGGCCATAGAGCGAAGCGTTGCCACTTCGGAAGGGTTAGCGGTCTTAGTTCTTGTTGTATTTTGCAAGCTTTCAATTCAAGATTTCGACGTAAACTGCGCCAAGATTTCGACGTTCCACACGCCAGTCCGAGTAACTCCGAATGGCGCCGAATCGACTATCCGTGATATTCGTGTACACTCTCAGCTATGACTGCTATATTTTCTTCAAATCCTGCTGGACTTGTTCTATTCGGTCGAATATTATGTAGTAATGAATGAGTCGATTTTTTCTTTCCGTCTGTCTGTCCGTTTATTCGGTGTCAAGTCCTTCCTTGGAAAAGATGTTTTTTTGACAAGGTGCCTGCGTCAAGTTCCGCACAGATGATTACATAAATTCGATTCGATTCGATTAAATTGTTCAGATTGGAGCTTACACTGCCATTCAGACTAACAGATAAAAATCAAAATGAAGATGTTTTTACGCTTAACCTCTATGGAATATTTACGTGAATATTAAAGCTTAATAAAGTCCTGATCTAGACATATCGTATCAATCAATGATTTTCGTCATTGAATATCAGTTATTGCGATGCTGTGATGCTCGCAAAACAGTGCCTAGCAAAATTTTAATAGGAAAGGATAAGACATGCAAGCCACCTAGAAAATAGCCGTATGAAAAAAACGTTATTTCAAGCAAAAGTGTTTGAAAACAAAAAAAAAAAMAAAAAAAAAAAAAACAAATTAAATATATATATATATAAGGATACCAGAATAAAAGTGAGAATATTGCGTATATATGCTTCTTTCAGAATAAAAATAAAATCTAGTTTTGTTGCAAAAACTATCGAAAAGTCGTCTAATTAGTAACTTAACTCTTTTTCAGTTCCGTCTTGTTTTGTTGTGTAAAAATCTGGTTGTGTAAATAGTAAATAACAACTGCTAAAGTATTTTATATAAAACAGAAATATGGAAATAACTATTATTAAATACGCACCAGGCGAGTTGCGCTAGAGTAGTGGGAAATCTTATGGATTTGTTGTGAATTAAAGTAAAAGTGTATATAGTTAAGTTTAAATTTAAGAATCGGTTTTATATATAACATCAAATTTCTATAATTAAAAACAAAAGTTATAGAGTTTGAGAAGCGAATGTCTATTAAGTTTGTCATTCTTTGTAGTTCCATCTGTTTTATTCTTCTTATTTTGTAGCCTATGTTGGTGTAATCTTGTTTCTGTTTTGTTTTGCTGAATTTAATTTCCATTTGACTTGGTTTCGTTTCCCACTTTTGTTGTAGTTTATGCTAGATATTTTATAAACACAAATTATTATCGCAGCTGAGTAAAAAAAAATTATTTGTTTTTGTTTTTTTCGATAACTTATGTCTCCAACAACAAAAACACTACTACAAACAAACTGCTAACATTTTTACAGCCACCCTATCCACCACACTCCATTCACGTACGAAGAGTAGTTCCCTACCACCGCCCAGCGGCAGAGCTCAGTCAGCTTCTGCTACTGCGGCTACCACTACTACTACAACTAACGCAGCAGCTGCAAAACAGTCGAGATCCACACACGAACCCACGAAATACCCGAAGTCCAATCAGCTGTGCAAAAACTTCACACAAACTGCATACGGTATGCCCTTACTGCGCAAGAAGGATAAAGACAAGACAAATTTGATAAATCTTGGCAACAGCAGAGTTGGTGAGAGTCGCACTGTCAAAGCGCGTCCGAAGTCCACAGGTGGTGCCATAAATGTGACAGCGAGTGGTGCTAAGCCCGCCAGACCGGTTTCCCTCACCGAGGCCGTACTGCTACCAACTAAGGCGGCTACGACAACAAAGGCGACCACAGCTAAAATCGCCGCTGATGCCACGAAAATTGATGCAACAACAACAAAACCATTGGCAAAAGAATTGAAAAGCGATAATGAAACACAGAAAACAGCAGCACCAAAGGCAAAAGCTCCAGTTGTTGTCGCAGGCAAGGACGACCAAGGATTGCAACCAGAACAAAAGGACACTGCAATGCCACTCAAAACGGCAGATCCCATGATGACTAGCGTATTCGGCGCGCTACCAAATGTTGGCGTTGACAGCAAAGATGTCTCCAATCTTATGACTGCCAGCGTGTATGGTGGATTCGGTGGCAGTCGCGTCACTGTTGATCCCATGTTGACGAGTGTATTTGGTCAATTGCCTGCTGAAGAGGTTGCCGGAGACGCTGTACGCAATATTGCCGTTGGTGGTAGTGGCAGCGGTGGTGGTGATGATGTTGGTGGTGGCAGTGGTGTTGGTATGGTTAGTGGTGCTGGTGGTGGTGGTGTTGATGTCACAGCGGTCAAAACCGTTGAGCCAGTATTGGCCAAAAATCTCACCTTGACTGGCTTAACGGTACCATACGCGCGGGATCATAAGAAATCCGGTGAAAGTGAGTAGAAGAAGCATTTGCTGACTTAACTACAACAAAACATACAATCATCTGCATACACACTTGTACTCAGCTTTGTATATGAGTACAAGTAAGTTTGTGTGTGTGTGTGTGTGTGCATATCTAAATAAGTAATCGTACTAACTCTAGTTTGGTTTTGCAACAGTTAACCATAATCAAATACGATATGAAACAATTTCAAGTTTTAAACATTTTTAGTCGTTCCTAGTAAATAAAGGTCAACGAAAATTATGCCATTTTACAGTTATTTAACAAAAACATATTTTCTTATTTTATTTATGTGTATGTAAATATGTAGTTGACGCACATATGTGTCTATATTAATGTTGTAAAGTGTACCAATGACAACTTATAATAGCATCTTTGTATCGATGACCCACACTAATGTCCAGAAGGTATTAGATAACATATACCGCGAATATTAGAGAAACGTACTCAATATTTCAATTGGTTAGCTTATTTATAAATTCTTGTTAGTAAATGTAATGATGTCACATAAATAATTGCATATATATTTGTGTGTGCGTGTGTGTTTTGGAATTGTGCTTTCTTAATATGCGTAAAATTATACATATTTTTTGGTAATTACTAAAGTTTACTCTTAAATAATATAATTAGCAACATAATGCGTTCTTAAAAGGGATTTTCAAAGGAAATTGAAATAGTAATAAAGGACGATTTTTAAGTTTAACCAAAACGAGAATTCTATCTTCAGCTTCGCACAAGAAGCATAATTAGTACAGTATTTTCTTAGCTCTTAGTGCTTAAACACTTTAACGAATATCGATATCGTCACCAAAAATGCAAAACACCGAAAATTTCGGCTTCCGCTAACAGATATAACCAAATATATAACCAATATATAAGTAATATATAACCAATATATAAGTAATATATAACCGATATATAACCATTTTATAACCAAAACTCAAGTTTTGTTTCAATATGAGTGATTTCTATTATATTGATTTTCCTTCGCCTGCAAACTTACGAAAAGTGGTGTTACTTTTTTTTGAATTTTAAGTGACGATATAAAGGTGCGTTGGCAAATATCTGGCTGGTTTTGGATACATTGAAATTCTATTTCAATTTCTTTATTTTTATAGCGAAATATAGAAAAAAATTGTGTACTATTTAGTATTTAATAGAAATTCGCGCGTAAGATCAGAGTAACTGTTACATTTATTGATATGTTTCGGACACCAAATCGTGAACTCATTAGGAAAATTGTTTTGTTCGCTGCAAGCATTCAATCATTTTCGTGCCAACCTTACACTAATGTCGTATAACAGAGGTAATTTATGAAAATGATTCTATGAAAACTAAGCATAGAACAACAAAGTCAGAGGTATCAAAATTTATACACTATATTTAATTTGTGCTTGAAAAAAAAAACAAAAAAAAAAAAATAAATATTTGCAACTAAAAATCGTCACATTTTATTCAAGAATGTGCTTTGTGTTATTTCAACTTACTATTGTATCCCAATTTTCTTGTACACTCACCTGATTGTAATGCATATATGTATATTTGTAGTTAGTGTTTAAATATTTGTTAAAACTTTCAAGTTTGTTCTTACCAAAAACTATAAAATAATGAACTTAACATAACTACTAACACCAAACTATTTTCCTTGTTTAAATATATACACAAATTTAGGTAAAAAAGTTAACTTATTATTTTACTAAAGTAGCATAGGTGATAGATATAATACATTACTTAAAAATTCAAGAAACTGTCCATAACCAAAAAAACACTCTAATTGGGTTCTCAAAATTTTCTGAACACACCATTTAATTAAAATCTGAAATCGACCTTAATTGGACACATTTAATTGGCCACAAAATCGGTTTATTGATTGAGAGTAAATCATATATACAATAACATACTTGGTATGTGTGTATATTAATTTAAAACACATGTATCAATCATCCACACACACATAAACATTAAACCCATTAAGTATAAATAAGTCAGTTACAGTTTTGTTAGCCAAATTGTTGTTGAGTTTTTCGTAATTCAGTTCGAAAATATTGTTTAATATCCAACTACTATAACTGTGTGTAAATATCTGCTTATGTCTGTTCTACAGCTAATGCCCTGTTTGCTGCATGCTCAACCAACCAACTAACTGTCCACTAACTGCAAATTAACCTATATACCAATATTTCTCAGATATTTAAAGCTGATTGTGACCTGCTCTTACGTGTCCTTCCACGTTTCTTCTTTCGATAATCAAGCTTTATTGCTATCCTTCTTCTAACTAATTGGCGTCTTAAGCCTTGAACCAGCGCTTTGTAAACCGTTATGATTTTTTACCAACTAACCACTTACTATTTTATTTAATTTAGCCCTGTTCTCGTGTCGCTTCGTTTGACTCTTGCATTTTGGCGCTTTTTATTGCTTAAAATGCTACAACAAATACTTGTGTTAATTTTCTTTAATAATAATATTTTTTTTAAAACCTTTTCTTTCAACTAAATACATATGTTACCTAATCATACCCAGTTTTGATGAGTTATAAGTGAGATTTATGTTCAATATCGATTTACTAACCACAAAACTCTAACCATAAAATTTGCTTTCCATCAGCTACGAAAAGAAAATATTTAATATACAAACAATAAAAACATGTCTAAATTAATAATATAAAACAGTTCAATTATTGTAGGTTACCTTAAACGTTAAAATTTGTGCATTTTTTCCGCAGCAAAAGCTTTTGCTAACTTGTTTACTTCATTATTTGATTTTCCGTTTTTCCCCTACCACTACGTATAATCACTTACGTCGTAGACGATGCTGAAGATGGGCGCGATACTGCTATATCTGTGTCGAGTTGCAGCCCACAGCCGGCGCCTGAAATACCTGATGAGCCTATTGTTAAATCGCCACCAGAGCCTACACGCGTCAAATCGCCAGAGCAGATTTTAATGCGTTCGCCGGATCCGGTCAATTGGACCGTGCCACTGGATACAGGGAAAACATTCACTGTTACGCAGAACGTGAAAGAGGGTGAGTAAATATATATGCATTCCAATATATAGTATATCAAAAATCGTTAGCGAACCATGTAACCCGCTAATATATCGTTCATGGTTCTTTTAAAATCTGTCAATAAAATAAAAATTTTAAGTTAATAGGTAACGGTAGCTTATTATGAAAAATTTATTCTAAAATTGGTCTCTTTCACAGGTGAAAACTATAGTCGGCCACAGAGCGAAATAAAGGCTTCGACTCCGGTTGAGAAGCCACCACCACCACCACAATCGGCACCGCCACAACTAACCGAACAGGCTAAAATGGACGGTAAGCCTTAAAGTCGCTTCTACACAACAAATAAAGAAAAATTTCAAAAACGCTAGCAAACTTAAGCCAAACCAAAAAAAATCTCTCTCTATATATACATATATATATTTACTATATATTTATGATATATGACGTATCTCGTAAGAAATCCATATCAAACTCAGACCAGCTTCTTAACGTATTCGTATTATTCGCTACTCATCATTACATTGCGCCAATAGTCAAGTAATTTATATATATATATATATATATACTTTATATATACATGCATACATATAATAAACTGCAAATCAAATTAAATCAAATCAAGCAAAAAAAAACAATCTAAGAACAAAGTTGATATAATTCAAGTAAATTAATTAAGTCAAAACTTAAAAAAAAAAAACGAATCACTGCAAACAAAATTCAATGCAAAAATCCACAAAAATAAATAAAATTCCAATAATAAAAAAAAGCAAGCATTGGAATACGTTTAACACTTTCGTAACTTTCCCCCCCACACATATACACACACTTGTACATTGACGACGGCGAGTGCAGCCTGGAAACATGCCGAACCGAAGATGGGCACCACAAGTCCAACCGGTACCGTTGGTGCTGGACGCTCAATTGTCGCCACGCAGCCAACCGCTGGCGCTGGTGGTCTGCCATCACCTCCACCATCGCTGGCATCAACAGCAATAGCAACCGGTAAGCCAGTGCCTGGCTCAACATTGCGCTGCCTCGATGACCCCATCTTCGATGTGGACATTGGCCATTTGGGTGGTGGAGGTGGTGGTGTCAGCGCTGGTGGCGGTGGCAACACTTCGTCATCGTCCACGTCGACCACCACGGCGGTGACAGCACGCACCACAGCGAACGATGTGCTAGAAAAGGCTCGTGACCGTTTCGATCGCTTCTGGGGCGGCAGCAAGGAGGAGCATGTTTAAGTTGACGCTTGTTCGAAACCAATTACAATGAAACAATGTTTATTTCAAATGATAGACGCTGGTCGAAATGATGTTGGTGATGATGTTGATTATTTTGATGAAAATGTAATTGCTATTAATGCAACGTAGGCCGCACTGAGGTTAGAGTTTTGAGGTACACCGCATGAAGTTCAGCTGAGATTTTTATACTCAACGACAGACAGCCGGTTAGTCAAATTCATTAAATAACTTTTATAATAATTGCAATAACAACTAATTACTATTAAAATGTATAACACAAAGTGAATATGTAATAATAAAAGCAAATACAACAGAAAAATCGGCAACACGAAACATACATATGTGTTAAAAAACTAGCATAGAATAAAACAAGCAAACAAACAAGACAAGCAAATATGTAATAAAAGTTTTTAGTGCAAAGTACTTGCATGAAAGTCATAGCAATAATATGGAAATCTAAATATTAAGTGTTTCAAACTATATACCTTCACAAACACACACACACACACACACAAATACAGAAACTCTTACTACAGCGCAAATTACACGCAAGCATTAAATTTAGCGTTGCGCTCTTTAATGCCACACCAATGGACACACTCGCGCTATAAGCCACAACAACATTACCAAATCTAGATATTTTATTAAATTAACAAATCAAATCTTGTCATATATAGCAAAATAGTTTAATAAAATGCATATGCATGTGTTGGAATATTTCATTGAAAAAGATACAGGGTAGCAGGATTTCAATTTATAGTTTTTACTAACTCCACACACAGCTTTGTCTTTACATTAAGTGTTTTCAAATTAAGTCATAAGCAAAAAACTGTTGACATACCAAACAGAAAATACCAAACAATAAGCCTGGATGTCGCTTCATAAGTTTAACTGGCCTAACTTCAGATTATTTCAGCGGTGAAGTACATTTTGTTGCGAAAGAATAAAATTTATTCCGAGCGAAAGAATGGACATAAAATGTTTAATATCTTCTGCTAAAATTTCGAAATGAGCTATTAGTTAGAATTTTTTAAGCCTTGTTGATGAACCTGTTGAGAATTCTAATAATTTTCGCCGTTATTTTAGAACGTTTTTAGAAGGAATAAAATTAGCATGAAAAATATTACGTAAAATTTAAATTAATTTATATTTTAAGTAGTTTGCCACTTAATTCGCGGTAAATTTCATTAAGTAAATTGTTGCAATTAGAGTTGACCACAAAAAAAAAAATTTTTTTTTCAAGAGACTCAAATGCACTTGGATGGAAAACACTGTATTAAATTTGTACTAATTTCATTAATTAGAAAAATACTATATTAAATATGTATTAATTTAATTAATTAGCAACTTAAGTTCTATTGAAAATATCAATGAAAATATAGAACGTTGACATATGGACATTATGCTCAATTAATTCCCTATTTTTTAGTTTATATGATTTACATGAAGTTTAACAAAATTTCAATACAACTTTTATGACAAGCCTGAATCACCAAAACTATGTATAACTACGAATGTATATAGAAGTACTACTGGCGATTTCGATATCGTAGCAAAAACCAACAAAGAGGCTTGAATTCTAAAATACTGCTTTTAAGAAATATTTGGTTATCAAACTTAGGAAATAAAGGCAAATTTAAGAGAATTTAAAATTTATGTGACTGCTCGGTTTACAACTTTTTTTTCTAAATAAATATGCAGTCAATTGTTCATTATCATTATCTTCTATCAACTTAGGCCATTTTATGTGATATAGTTTTGAAATATTTATAGCAAATTCGAACCTAAGAACTTCTTTCAGTCAAGGTCTCTTTCAAATTGGGTTCTTTGTGTAACTATTCCGATTACAAGAACACTTGCCAGACAGCAGTCGAGTTCGATAAAAGCAAGTTTTTACTCAGATTTCAAGCAACATAATTTAAAAATGGCTACCGTTATTAGTGCTTCTTAAATCTTCAATTCTTTAAAACTCTTCAATGATTATCTACATAAGAGTATTGCTCATGGTGATTATCTTCCACAAAAGCGCAAAGCGCTCAACTGGAAGTCAAATGTAAGGCAGGGAGCCAAAGTTTTCAGATCATTCAATATTGCTGAGTAGAGTAATGATCTTACGTAATAATTCATAATGGGATTGATCATCACTTGAAAAGGAAAAAAACTTGAAAGATACTTGGAAACTTGTTGATGGTTAAACAACTGTCATTTCGTTAAAGAGAGTGTAGTTCCTTCAGAGAATTTTTTAGATAAAAAAGTTGAGTCATTCCACTAGAGAAGACCAGTACGACGTTATTAAATTTCTTAAACGAAATTTCAGATTTATGTTCGGAAAATCCACACATTGATTTTTTTAAGTGAGAAAATTATAGAGAAATCTTTTTGACTACCTTTTCGTAAATCAGCATTCCATGAAGCAGATAATTATATTTTGTTGTTAAACTTCAGGCCTACATTACATAACCTTACTGAAAACTAACTAAATGTTTGGGGCATATAAACTCAACATATATATGTATGTATATTTAGAAAATGTGTTCAATTGTCTAAGAACTCATTAATAATAAGCTCAATATGCATGTACTTATGTATGAAAAACTCAAAAATAGTTGTTTTTAATTTATAATATTTTGGTAAATTAATTAAATGTATGCCAATGCGAAATATTTCTTTTGCAGCTTAAGACAAATATAAAGACAAATTGAATTTGTGCGCAAAACAAGGAAGTTTTTATTGTTAGTTACAGAGAGCAAGAGAGTAGGAAGACGTAAATATTCAGAGGCTTTATTTTAAGTTAAAGCTAATTCGAATTTTGTTTTTTATAGAGAAGGATTAGCAAACATTTAGATATTTTTTTGTTCTTTTGTAGCCACATTATTTGGAAAACAAATTATATAAAAAAAAACATAATAAAAATATCCATTTCTCTGTTTAAATTTTTAATATTTTTTACTGTTTTTTTATTTTTTATTTATAATTAGTGTATAAACATGAGCATATGCGGAAACTAGGATAAGCAATTAAAAATAATATTTTTTTAATTAAATTGTTTTTTGTATTTTTTAAATTTTGGTTTCTTTTATTTTCGTTTGGCCATATTTGCAGATTATAATTAAAGGTGTCGTTCATGAGTGACTTCATACACTTGCTATTAATTAGCTCACACTATTGCATTAAGATACATACGTATACATATTAATAAAAATCGTAATCAACCATCATCAAAGCAAAAACATCATCATCACTTCATACATGAAAAGTAGGCATCAGAAAAAGACCCGTCCAAAACATATATAAAAAATACAAGCTTGAACAACTATAAGGAAACATTTTTGAACTAACTAACTAAAGTAAATATAACTAAAGTAAATTTAGGTGCAACTAAAGTAGAAAGATAACTAATTACATCCTCCAAATAAGTAACAAAAACAAAAACGCATGCGTATACATATATATATGCCAATTATGTATATATGTATGTTATACAACAGGGTTGTATTTCAGGGTGAACATTGCAAAGTGAAAGTGTTCGCCAGTTTTAAATTTTTTTAACAAAACACAAAAACATACTTGCATAACAGCATGCCAGCACTTTCTTATATAAATAATACAATAATAATAACAAACATATGGTATACAACGGCGCGTTTGCAACAAATGTGTGGGGATTTTTCATGTTGAAAAGCTAAGCATATTCATATTAAAACAAAGATCAAGAATATGCAGTTGTTGTTTTGATAATTTTGTGGCAGATCTCTCTGGAAATATGCGCAAAAGTGAAAAATTATTATTAAAAAATTTTGAAAAATTATGTGGGTCAAAATACCATCACTGATATATGTAGATGATTTCGAGATGGCGAGTGTATTGTGAACGTACTATTGAAGATGTCAGACAAAATTAACCAATACAATTGTTTATGGCATTTACTTATTAAGTAAGTTGAGCAATAGTTTCGAATATAAGCACCAAAACAAGAACTAAAATATTTGTAAAAGAATGCTTTAATTATAAACTTATTTTGAAAAAAAAAAAAAAAATGAGAGAACTAATGAAAGCTAATTATGCCATTAAAAGCTTGCAAAGTATTTCAGCGCAATTTTCTTGTAACAAACGGTTGGTTTTCTAAGTGAACTCCTGCATAAATGACAATTTAATTCAGTATTGATTTAAAGTTTCCCAATCATTATAGAGTTTGGCAAATATTTTGATAAAAAAGCAAGCGCCGACATTTTTTTCACGCAAATAAATATTTATTTATTAAGCATCAAGTAGCCTTTATGTAATGCCTCAATCAATGCATATAATATAATTGTTATATTTGTTATAGATGTAGTACTAATATCGCTTGTGCATATAAGAATTATTTAAATAAAAGTTTGTTAGCGTTTATTAGCAAAACATGGGAGTGTGACAGATGTTTTTTTCCATTACATTAACGTCGCTTCATACTAACGAGGATTGGATATGTTTGTTTGTAACTTGTCTGATTTCGCAATATAACGAACTTAAAGCGAGATTTCGATAGTTGTGGATTTCTGATTTTTGTTTTAAGGTTTTTGATTTATGATTTATGATTAAATACTTATGATTTATAATTAACGAATAATGATGTATGATTAATGATTAATGATTAATAATTTATGATTTATAATTAATGATTTATTAATTATTAT